ATATTTTTATGCAGAAGTAAAAAATAGTCTTAAAATAAATTTTCGTAAAATATTTTAATAATAAGGTTCTAATAAGAAACATTTAGTTATAAAGTGCTGAATACTGTATTTTTTGATAGTATTGTACCGTCATAACTGTATTTTTTGATAGTATTGTACCGTCATCGCATTAAATATTTACATACTGTCGCTATCTAGTTTTCAGGTTAGAAACTAAGATGAATGTGGTTACGCGAAAAGTGGATTTGTGAGCTGCAATTTACTTTTGCATTCTTTGATAATGCCAATAGATGCAAATCGTTGACTTGCTTTTTTAGGACAATATGGCATCGTATTGATTAGTAGATTGAACCGCCTCAAGTAGCGCTCTTGTAGTTCGTGTTGTAGCATGAAATAACATAAACAGTTTACGACATTCATAAATCTTAAGTAAATTATTCTGTCGTATAAATGGAAGGAGTTCTTTACCTAATATCAAATAAAACACGAGTTTACAATGAGTGCACAAATTAATAGAAATACTGGTACATAATAATGTGATTTTATTAATCGTTTTTAAAAATATGAATGTGTATATATGTATTGTTACATAGTCGTGTTTTTTTTTGTTCTGTTTTCAAGAATTTTATTAATTCATTGTATTTCTCAAGCTATTGTATTAAAAATGTTATTTTAACCTTGTTCTCGTATCTTGAAAATGCAATTAATTTATACAAATATTTGTATGCATTATCTCGATGTTTATTAATTTTCGATTTAAACGAAGTTATTTTTTTCTTTTATATTATTTTAAACTCAATTCATTAATTGAATAGCTGACGTGGCTAATTATATTAATTAATATTATTATATATTGTTTCATACATTAAGTGTCATGAACTTGTACTGTGTAATATATTATGTCATTTTAGAATGAATTATATTATTTTTTTACAGTAGTGTCGAAAAAAATGAATGAAAAACCTTCAACAAGACGTGCTATATTAACAGTTACTTTGGTATTTGTTGCATCAATAACTAGTCTTTCTTATGTCTATATGAGCTTTCCAGAATTAGCAGAGTATGAAACATTTTTTTACATAAATTGTTATATTTGCCTTTAAAATAAATTCTATTTCATATTAATCTATTTTATAGGGAAGAGAAACAATATATGAAATTACCATTTCATATAGAAGATGCACAAAATCTTGGAAAGTTATTAGGAAGATACAAGGATCGCTATTATTTTGAAGTATTGACAGGACTATTCATTACTTATATATTGTATCCTTCGTCTATTCATATATTTTATATGTTATTAATTCACAGTGAATATTTATCATATCTTTTTCCTTACATATACGTATTGTAGTTTGCAAACGTTTGCAATTCCTGGATCTATTTTTCTATCGATATTGTCTGGATTCTTATTCCCATTTCCTATCGCACTTTTATTAGTATGCACATGCAGTGCAGTTGGTGCAACGCTTTGTTACCTTCTATCATCGTTATTAGGAAGAAAGTTATTATATAAATATTTCCCAGACAAAGCTAATGAATGGACAGTGATGGTAGTTAAGCACAGAGATAATCTGTTAAATTATATGCTATTTCTTCGAATGACACCATTTTTGCCTAATTGGTTCATAAATTTAGCTAGCCCTGTAATAGGAGTCCCTGTAGTACCTTTTACAGTAGGCACATTTTTTGGTGTTGCACCACCATCATTTGTAGCGATACAAGCAGGACAAACATTACATAAATTAACGTCATCTAGTGATGCATGGTCCTGGAATAGTATGATCATATTATGTATCTTTGCATTGCTTTCTTTAGTACCTGTCTTATACAAACAAAAGCTCAAAGCAAAGTTTCAATAAATTGTAGGAACAATTGTTCACATCGTGACATTCCCCAGGTCTACTTATTGGAGATGCATTTTATGTTCCTATTTAGGAATATATTATGTTAATAAAATAATTATTGAGAAATTTGTGTATAATGTATAATTATTATTTAAGGGGATATATTTTGTATCCCTTTGTATATTTAATCGCTTTCAAACTTATTATGTTAATAGGAAGAATTTATTTTTGGTTTGATGCAAATAATATATTAATTTCACTTTAAATTAATCTTATCTTTTAGTTTTTATAATTGCATATTAGGCAAAATTATAACATTTAATGATTTTTATAAATACGTCTAGCTGGCATATTGGTCTGCTGTATTCTTTAAATCTGTTAAATCCTGTTTTGTAGCAATTTGTAATTTCCTATTAAATTTTTGCATGTTACCTTTTTTTTTTATATTTGTATAAATTATAGTATATGTAAATAATTATTAAAAACGTAAGATAAACGAGATCTCATATATACAGAAGAATATACTATTATCCGAAATAAAACAATTTGTGATAATATAAAATATAAAATTATTTATTACATAAACTTTTTTAGAAGCTTATATTGCACATGTATTATATCGTTAATTTAAATATTATTCTAACAAAATGAAGTAAGATAACTTATAGAAATAGTACTTGAATTAGGAACTGGTAAACTTATTGGATGCCAATACCACCAATTATACCACACTAAAATAACAATAAAAACAAGTTAATCTTTTTCTTGTACATATAAAGCATAAGTGTAAAAAAATGAAACATACATGTGTTTCCCTTGGAAAGAAGAATCGTAAAAGTTGAACAGCTTTGTTGACACTCTAAGCTTGGCATCATTTTTATTAATCTTGCTCCATCAGTTAATCTTAATATTACATTACTGCATTCAGATCTAGGCTAAAATAAATTCATTAAATTTCTTATCTGCATAATCGATTATTTTGTTTTATTATTAATTTAATACCAATGAATAAAACGGAGAGTTTGCTTCATCAATAAATACAAATTTCTCTGTACTTTGTCCCCACCAATTAGGAGTATCCTTAGGTTTTGGAAATAGTTTCCGTATAATCCTTCCGGGTTTCATACGATTTACTCTCCATGTTATATGAGTTGTATGAAACTCAGAAGGATAAATATCCAATCTTTTATTCATAACATCATGAATAGTGCTATACAATAAATACTATATATATTTTAATCATTTATAGAATAATAATAAAATCAAACATAAAAATATGTATAACTTACCGATATTCTTCATTATTAGAATGTACTTTATTAGCATCTTCTTTAAAAGTTTCATTATTATACCAATACATTTCAGATAAATCTTGTATATTAACAGTAATATTATTTTCTGTTTTTGTATAAGGAATGCCAATATTAAAATTTTTAGATATATTGTGATTTGTTAAATCTGCTATAGAATGAATGATACTACATGGCCAGCAATTCATATCGTAAATATAAAAATATGGATTTTCAACTAAACACCATTCATCGTAAAACTCTACATAAATCAAAAAAGATATAAAATAAATAAATAACATTTTAATAATATGCATTAAATATAATTTATTTTTTTATATTACCTGACAGTGGTGGATATTGTTCTATAATTGGGATAGCTATTTTGCGTAGAATAGTAAAGCCAGGATAAATAGAGCTTTGTAGATTTCTTAATATTACAGTATTATAAAAAGGATGATTATATAGGCCAATAAAAGTAATTAATAATACACATATAAATGTTGTAACATATGTTAATAATTTTGTTATACTCCAAGTTTTTTTATTGTATTTTATTTCAAGCGTTTGAAAACACTTATTAAAAATCTCAGTGATTTGTAATTCTGATATATTATAATCAGAAGCATATAATTTAATATATCGTATTCCTTCTCTGTATTCATCTAAGTCAGCCATTCTTTATATATAAATCGTTTTCATATTTTAATAAACGTTAAAACACACATTAGAAAATAAAATTAAAGGTTATGATATTAAAAGAGCAACGATTATCTTTTTCTATTTAACTGATGTTATTAAGTGAAGTTAACTTTAATCCTTAGCTGTATTCACTTTTAAAACAATCGTTATTTAATGGAATTAAATGTAAGAAACGTTAAATTTTGAAACTACTTTTATAAATATTGAATGCATTATTATTATATATATATATATATATATATATATATATATATATATATATTATATACAAAAACTAAATTGATAGAAAGATCAAGGTCATAGGTTGAACTTGTCTCAAATCAAATGGTATAATTCTTTCACTTTTGTCGTATTTCAAAATTTAATATACAATATATTGGATATCTTTTGGCGGGCTTAATAGCAGCCAATGAAAATTAATCATTCAAATTTGATCGCAATAATCGTAATTAAAAAACCGCGTCAATGTTCAGGCAATATTGACAAGTGATGGACGTGTTTCCGATACATTGAATGAACTAATTCCTAAGTAGGAACATGCTCTTGTTAGCATTTGATTCTTTGTCAAGAAGAAAATGTTATATATTTTTTAAGATTAATATGAAAGAAATTTATTGCTATTATCGTATTAACTATACGAGAAAATAAATCTATTTCTATATATATTTATATGTATATTGGCTTTATACTTAGTATAAATCTAATAAGCATTAATAATATATACACGTATGCACACACGAATTTAAAGGTTAGAATCTGTGCTCACAGGATAGAACACTATGAAGACATTCTCTGCTGAATTTGGAGTGAATGGCGAAAGTGTTTACGAGTATCAACGTTCACATCTGTTTATGGTGAATAAAAACATTGATTTATACATTACGTGCATATCAAATGCTCGAATTTTTGTTCCTACTTCTAAAATTAATCGAACATATTTGACAGTGCATTGTGAGCACATTGAAAATGCATAAATTAAGAGAAATAATAAATATTAATAACAATATTAAAATAGATGCACTTATGATGCTTCCATATATTCATTAATTAAACATTTCTCCAATATTGTGTCTGTGCATTTTTTTGAATGAATACAGCATAATTACAATAGAATGATTAATAATATTCAAATATTCTTCAATGGGACACAAAAAAAATGAATATAGAAATGAAGGAATATATAATTGTTAATATTCGATATTTCTTAATAAGTGATCATAGTCAATAAATATAGTACAATGTGTAATATACATACAGTGATATCATGTGAGTTTTTAATTATTCAATTTGACATATATCATGACATTTTGTACATGCATCATATTTTGTCTAATAATTTGACTATATTTTTCAGATGTCTTTATATGTTTATGCAAAGTTTATTGTCAAAATTAATTTTATGTTATATTATTATTATTAAATCACATGAGCATTATATTGACAGACAAATTTTATCTAATGTTGTATTATCAAAGTATAATTGTATATACCAATGCTCAACATAGTAAAGAATTTATTTATTATTAAACAATGTCTGTTCCCTCTTGTTCGACATACACAGACTTGCATATCCCGAAAAGTAAAGAAGAAAAAATATATGCCAAGTGGGAACGGTTCACTAATTGGGTGCATTGTATATGTATCGTTACTTTTGACCTCGAATTAGGCCAAGCTATAGAGGTAACTGCATATAAAACTTAATATATCATTGTTTATATTGTCCTCTTTAATTAAAATATATTTTTTAAATAGGCGGTTTATCCAAATCATGTACAACTTTCCGAACAAGAAAGATCTAATGTATGTTACTTAGCGTTTCCTGATTCTAACTCTGGTTGTATGGGAGATACTCAATATCATGTAAGATTAAGGCAAAATGGAAATATGATTCAAGACACACCAGCTTTACTGGAGTATAATAGAAAATCACCATCTTTTCTCCAATGTGATAAGGACTACTATTGGGGCTATGTATATTTTCGTCAAGTTAAAGATAAATCTTTACCAAGAGGATATTTCCAGAAAGTAAGAAATGTTTTAGTAAATATGCATACATACATATACATATATATATATATATATATATATTTATATAGTTATGTATATTATTTTCAGAGTATTGTCATCATCACAAAACTGCCATTTGTTAACTTATTTTGTGAATTGTGTGCTTTGATAGCACCTGAATTTTTTGATCGTGGTAATACAGTCATGGAAGCAGTTGTACGAGAGATAGATCGTTGGCCACTTCCTGGTCCAGGTCAAATTGTTCACTTACCTCTTATGGGTGTCTTATTTCAGGTTTGCATTCTTATATATTAACATTTATTTCAATTTCTTTTACATATATTCATAGATAATTTATTTGGAATTAAATAATATATTAGTTATATCACATCTTGTTGATTTTAGACATACATTCCAAATCAAAATTATAAAGCTGCTGTGCCATGCATTGCAGCAATGGATCATGCACCAAATGTGAATGCAACGCGAAGATTAATTTTAACATCTGCATATGAAGGCGATATGTTCAAAACTTTAGCTAGTGTAGTAAGTCATATACATTTGTTATGGGAGTTAGTATTAGTTAGTGAACCTATCGTAGTAATGGCTTCCTCACCGACTACATGTTCGGAAATGGTTCAAGCACTTATTGCGTAAGTAAATAATTACGAACTAACGGCCATCCTGTAAAAATTATAACTGAGAATTATTAATGATTTGTTTTATTAGTATGATAACACCATTGAAATACTGTGCCGATCATCGTCCATATTTCACGATTCATGATTCTGAATTTAAAGAGTATACCACGGATGCTCCTACTCCACCTGCTGTAATATTAGGTGTCACAAATCCATTTTTTGCCAAAACTCTACAACATTGGCCTCACATCATTAGGATAAGTAATGGTGGAACTAGTGGTAAGTTTTTGGTATAAGAAAATAAGAGAAATATATATACATTAATTATATATTTCAGAAACTCAGAAATATAGGATAAAAAAATCTGAGAATCTCAAAGTATTAGATTCAAAGCCAGGTGTTTATACACAATACAAATCTTTTCTGCAAAAAGATAAAGCAATATTAAAAAAACTTTTAAGAGGTATTCAAACAAAAAGACCAGGTGAAGCACAAACGGCTCTTTTGAAACGTCATTTGATGGAATTGACTGAAAGTTTTATGATTCCTTTAGAAAGATATATTGCAAGTCTTATGCCTTTACAAAAGGACATATCACCCTTCAAAGTAATAATAATTCTCTCAATTAATATTCAAATCCTTGGTTTTAATATTGATAATGGAAATAAGTTAGTAAAAAAATATTTTTTATCTTAGGCAACACCAATACCACAATTATTTAATCAGGATGACTTTTTAGCTACATTAAGTAGTTTGGGACCTCAATTAACTACCGGTATAAAGGGAGATTGGGTAGGATTATACAAACGATTTTTTAGATCACCTAATTTTTCGGGCTGGTTTCATACCAGATACACAGAACTAGCTCAAAAATTACAAGTGATACAATTGGAAGCCTTATCGCAAGCAGTACGTATTTTCGTTGTTCTATTCGCTATTCCAGTAGTTAGCATATTTATTAAATTCTGTTATAATGCATAGGACTTAAAAACATGGGTACAAGGAAAGCAAGAAGTAGAAGTTGTGGATATGATCCTTAGAATTCGACAAAAATTAGAAAAGAGTTGCATTAATAATATATCGATGGATGATACAATCAGAAAAAAACTCCAAGATAGAATAAATGACATTACACATACATTGCCAGATGACTTACAAGTTATTTTAAGCCATGAGTCTTGACAGTACGATTATATTATTAATTTTAAAATTCGTTAATAATTCTATTTACTGCTATTAGTTGAATTGGGAATCAACATTATATGCCAATGTCGGTGTAAATTCATAAGAAAAATTAAGCTTCCAATGAATGAAGCTTTTAGATTTTTAAATATTGATGATTATGACATAAAAAAAAGTAACGTGAATCGTATACATATGACAGGCATAAATTGAAATGCTGACTGAATTTGGGCTAGAATTTTAAATAGGTTTTAATTATGCTTTATTTCTTGAATGTAAGTGTACATATATATATATATATATATGATACTCTTTAAAAATATTTATAAAAAATAAATTACATATATTACTTAGTTTATATATAAAGTAAAAAAAGAACTGTCTTTAAAATGTTTGAAACTTCTTAAGTAACTTCCATTTTTACATATTATAATATTTTTTATACATTTTACTTAAGAAATTTCCTTTTTAGTTGGAAAAATTCATATTTCTTTGATCTTTGAGATTTGTAAGCTCATTTTATCATTTTTTCTTACAATATTAATAATCTTTCATTTGAATCTGATATAATCCTCTCATATATATATTCTCATTTTTTATTTTATTTTAGATATAAAATACTCTAATTAAGTATTAAGAATCTCTCCTAATATAAATATGTATACGTGCATTTGAAATTCACTTAATTATAATAGAGCAAAAATAAGATCTATTGAATTTGAAACAAGAATTGTAAATATTAATGAATATTAAGAATGGAATAAAAATTTATTTTAATAATATTGCTGCTTTATTATTATACAGGATTTATAATAGAGATGACAATCTTTAAATAAGAGTAATATATTTTCTCATATATTAAATTTGATAGAATATATAAAAATTCTAGAATAACATTATATTCATAATTGTGGTATATCTGAACGTAAGTTAAAACAATTATTAATTTTACACAATCAACAAGCATAAAATGAAAAATAAATATTTTGATTTTATTTGCTTTACAGATACACATACTACTGTACATATTACGTGATCTAGAAATAGAATGTACAATTACTATATATATATATCTATATATATATATATATATATGTTTGTTTCACACATAAAAATAAAATTTGTTAGTAAACTCTAATGAGCTTGGTATGTTTATTCAGTTTGTTCATTTCAATTATGCATTGCTCGTTAAACTTGTTTATATTATATTTAATTTCGTCTGTATGTAAAAATATAGAATATCTTAATGATTAATGATAATGTTCGCCACAGTAACTGGACTTAAAATTTCAATCAAATAACCATCTGGATCTTTGATAAAAGCAATGCCTTTCATTTTACCATCGTTAGGTCTTTTCGCAAACTCAACATTAAGCTTTTCGAATCTTTCGCATGCTTGATCTACATCAGGTACTGCAATACCAATATGACCTGAATATAATAAATGAAAATATTAATATCATTATGTACATTATTTTGTTAAATACTGTTATAACTGCTTGCAGGTATACATAAACAAATTCATTAAAAATATGTCCTCACCATATCCTCTAGGATCTGAATTTCCATTATGGTACTTTGCATCTGGATCCATTTCTGTACCCCAATTGCTAAAACAGAATGATTGATTAAAAATGATACTAAATACCAATTAGTATTTACACTTACTGATTACATTACATACTGGGTCAATTCAATAGTTGCTTTTCTAGAGAAAGTCCATTCAATACTTTCTCTTCTGTCCGTTGGTATATCCTTAGGATTTTCATAACCAAGAAAATAAAGAGAAAATTTCATTTCAGGAAAGTCAAGCTTTTGTAACAAGTGCATTCCAAGAACCTCTGTATAGAAAGGTAATGATTTTTTAGGATCCTTAATACGGTACATTGTTTGTTGCATAATATAATCATTTGTCATTGGGTCTGCTTCCTTACAAAGCTCACGAGCTTCGCTGTTAGTCAATCCAGAAGGTTCACCCATCTAAAATAATTTTTCATGAAGCAATTAATAATTTATTTCTTCTATATTTATCAAAGATTTTTAAGTATTAATCGATTATCTTATAGATAAACTATCATTATCATTCAAGGTCATAATACATTGGATAAATTCTTTTAAAATGAAATATAAAATATATGTTATAGAAATTCGAATGATTATATATTATAATTATAAGATATAATGACTTAATTATTAAAGATTATTTTTTTAATAGAAATTATTTTGAAAGTATCATGTTTTGATATTATAGTAAAGGTTAGTTACGCATCTGTCTAGATTTATTATTAAATTATCACAATTCATATAACAGCTTTATCTTGTAAAAAGCGTGTGTCATTTAAAAAAAGGAAAAAACGGTGTCTTATTCCTTCCTTACCTTTTCTACAATCGTATAAAAATATAAACGAGTATTGTTCACTAACGTAACGGAAGTTGCGCGTATGATTAAGGATTCACGTTGTATCGTACTAGTTACGAAGAGTATCTTTCATTAACCTGTGACTACCGTCTGCTCCATTTATCTTATCTGTCAAAATTGACAAATCGAGTAAAGTTAATCTTTTCTAATTATTCTGTTAATTATTAAGCGTGTATTATATCAAAAATGGCACACTGGTTTCATCGCAATAACTTAAAGGCAACAACAACTCAGAAATTTGAATTGAAAGTTAATAATTCTACTGACGCTATTAAGAAACTTTGTAGGTTAGTATATTGAAAGTAAATGTTCAATGTGTATTATATATATATTAAATTATTTAGCAAATTAATATAATCATTTTTTTTCATATGTTTCAGTGACATAAAATTATCTAGAATTCGTCTTCTGGATTTAATAAAAAATGCTAACAATACAAGTGATTCCATCGAACCAGCTTTCTTGAGTTATTTAAGTTTGTTGTACGGATTTATTTGGGAAATATGTACTTCTGAGGAACATGTTGGAAGGCCCAATCTTAGTAAACTCAGGAACATTCTTGTATTCAAATGGACCCATACGTTACTCGGAACACATACCTAGTAATGCAATTATCGATAAACTAAATTAAAAAGATATATATTATCTACAATCATTGTAAAAGTTTATATTCTTTTTTATAGTTCTAGCTCTGATTCAGTCTATGAAGCAGCTAACATTAGCGTTAATGTGGGCCTTTGGTATATGAAACATGCGGCAATGATTGCTGCTAAGGATGAGTAAGTTTTTATCTCAGAGAAATAATATATAGTTTTTAAACATTTTTTTGTCACGATATAGCATAACAATGGACGAGGCAAAAAATGTCCATAGTATGTTAAGACGTGCTGCAGGTATATTTACATTTGTACAAACTGAATTTCTACCTCAACTGGCTAGTCCTCCGCCTTTAGGAAGTGATTTAGATCCACGTCTAATAAATGCATATGTAAATCAATGTACCGCAGAAGCACAAGAAGGTTTAATTAAGTCTTTATAGTTTATATGTATTTTTTTTGTTAAACATTTATTAAATTATTTTATATCAATTATATTTCAGTAACAGTGGCAAGGGCGATGGAGTTGAAACACAATGCAAGTTTAATATCAGCACTAGCAAATGAAACAAGTAAATTATTTTTAGATGCTGCTAACACGTTGCGTCCATTTAAACCAGAAATATCTGCTCAATGGATTAAATACTTAGAACTAAAAGCAGCATTTTATCAATCCTATGTAAGGCATATATATATCGTAATATATATCAATTTTAAATACATAAGCATATCTGATTCAAATATGTGCCATACAGGCATATAATTACTGTGGAGTTAATTTATTATCTATGGATAAATGTGGAGAAGCAATTAGAGCATTACAAGAGAGCGATAGTTGCCTTAAAAAAGCAAAAATATTATGTCAAGAATATGGAAAAACAAATGGTCCTGCACCTCGCGTAAAACCTGACCAACATACTGTTTTTAAAAAATTGGCTCCAACAGTAAAGCTCACATTAGATAAATGTAATAGAGAAAATGGTCTCATGTAAGTATATTTTATTATAACAATTTTTCTAATAAATAATTATTTCCAAAGTTAATAATATAATTAAACGCAACTATTTAGATATCATGATACAGTACCAGGAGAAATACCGTCTTTGGATACTAAAGCTACTTTTGGTCTTGTCAGTCCTATTGATTTTCAAATGCCTCTCCCTAATTCTATATGGAATGTAGGTGTTTACAAAATATTAGTTGGAGTAGCTCCAGCTAGAACAGAAAAAGAACAGGATTTACCTCCTGTTAAAGAAGAAACTGTTCATCAAAGTAATAAGGAACCAAAAAATGAAAGTGGATGTGTACTACAATAAGTGTTTTAATACACAAGGTAATTGTGTAAATACTTTGCAAGGGTTTTAAATATAACATGCTTTTTTATATTTATTATAACATCGATTACAAGTCGTTATAACGCTTACTAAGATTGCATTTCGAGTGAAACTAATAAATAGGAGCATAAATATAGATATTTAGTTACGTTTAGCCTTTTTGATGATGTTTCAATATAATTAGTTTCCAGTACGCGTATACTTGACTATTAAATACATAAAATATGACGCAAAAAGAATTATTTCACTTTACAATAATATACAGTAATAGATTTAATCTTACATGAAAATAAGCTTTTATATATATTGTGATCGTATTATCATTGAAAGTGAAAAACTGTATTATTAATGTTGATAATATTGTTATTTTAATTATAATTGTTTCTGCTTAAGTATCGCTTAAGTTATTATGAACTGATTTAGCTGTGATTTGAGATACGCACATACAAAATTGGAGCTAGTCGATTTTTATATAAATAGGGTTTCTACACCTATAATTATGTGCAAAAGTATAGTAAAAGTTAATAATGTATTGTACACGTTCCATCGGAGATTAATGATTTGTTTTAGATATTTTTAATAGAAAACTATTTTTGAAAAAGAGCACTTAAATCATGTTATGTAAGCTGTACATAAAATAAGATTTAAATATTACTTACTATTCAGTTTTAAATAAGTAATGCATGAAAAAAATATATTATGTAAGAACTATATGTTATAGAGCTATAAGTTGATAAGCTTTCTTACATAAACTTATAGATAATACAAGCTAAGCTATGTTTTCTTACAGCATAATTATAACATTAGTTTATTCTATTTACTTTTTTTAATTTATTTGCAATTTGATTAAAAAGAAAAATAATTATTTTCACAGAATATATTAAAATGTGAATTCATCGTGGAGTTATTTTCTTGTGATAACAAATGGTAACATATTGTAAGATTAATTTATAATTAGATTAATTTATCTATTTGTTACATATAGTGACAAAATTATCTTTCAGGAGATAAAAGATAATATCTTATTTAAGTATTATGTATTGTATATCTCTCTATAAATATATTTATAAAATATTTTTAACACAATAAAGATAAAGCAATGCTAAGAAGAAATAATTGTATATATGAAATAACACACAGTATATATATATTTCATTTCTTTAACGAATTTTTATTTATAATTCAAATCAAAGAGAGAGAAAGTATATATCGATATATTACATCATCGATTGTTGCCTTTTTAACCTAACCAAAGGTGTGAAGTACGTCACAGTGATATCGAGTTATTACTTTGGTCAGTCTGCTGCCACGCGCTTAGATGTGTACAACTGGAAACATCGCACAGGAGAATGTAAAGTTTCGTCTAATAAGCATAATTAATTTCACTTTCTACTGCAGTGACAGTAACTGTGAAATAAAATCTAAGAAAAAAAGGAAAGAAAAAGAAAAATAATAAAGAAAATACGAAAATACAATAATATCAATTTTATTTATGAAAAGGGTTACAATATTGTGCATCCAAGTTAATCGTGTACTCCTATACAAAGTGCAGTGAAAGTATTTTATGTCTTTGACCTAATTACCTTTTTTTTTTTCTTCATTCATTTGATTATGGTATACCTCTGATATATACATTCCTTGAAGAAAATAATTCTATTTTTATAAAGTATATATTATATTATCTTGATAACGTTTGTGCCTAAATTGAAAATATTATCATAATGAATAAAGAGGCATCTGATGTAATCCGTGTTGGATCTCGAAAGAGTGAGGTATGTGCTGCAAAATTTTTTTATATGGTTGATAAAAGAAAACAAATCAAACATACTACCATGAACCCACTGTTACGCGAATGATCAGTCTTTCTTCCAAATTTTCTGTTTTATTATTTAGGGGATTAAGATCTATTTTCGCGTTATTCTGTTTTTATTTTTTACATTTACAAATGGAATTTAATTTACAGAAATTTAAAGATTAAAAGTAAAATAAAAATGTGTATATATATATATATGTTTATATATATATTTATACAATTTTCTCAATAATATATTTAATTTATATCTTGAATACTTTGTTTCCTATGTTATCATAAGTGGTAGTATGATATAAATTATGTTATCATTCTACTGTATTCATGATTAGTCAGCAATTTCTAAGACGTTAATTATTTATTAATGTCAGAATGAATTAATTATAAAAATATATTTCCATAAAAATGTTTTCCTCGTTATCCAATTCAAGTTTTTTTTTTTAATTCATTAGATATTTTTTTACATAATATGATTTACGAACAAATCATTCAATTTTATTGCTTATTAATTACAGTGATTTTGTTTTTTATGTTTTTAGTTAGCGCTGATTCAAACTAGATATGTAATAGACTCTTTAAAGGAAATTTATCCAAAAAAGGAATTTGAAATAGGTAAGGAGAAATATTATTTATATAATTTAAATATAGGAATTATTGATAAAAAAAGAAAAAGATAATATATATGAAATAGTTAAGATTTTTATTTAAATACAGATTTTCGATCATCATTACCGATCATATGGTATATTGATATATTAGTTAGAAATGTTTAGTATATTATGTAACACTTGAGACATTTAAAGAAAATAGCTCTGTTCCGTATTTAGTAACATATATGTGCACTATGTGTGTATATATGTATATATGTAATGAAACCAAATTTTTATTTATATCCATTATATGTTTTTAGTAACAATGAATACGAAGGGAGATAAAATATTAGATAAATCGTTACCAAAAATTGGAGAGAAATCGTTATTCACGGAAGAACTAGAATTGGCTTTAGAAACTGGTCGTGTTGACTTTTTAGTACACTCGTTAAAAGATTTACCTACCATACTGCCACAAGGAATGGTGTTAGGTGCAATATTGAAGTAAGTAGATGTGGAGTAATATTAATGATCATTTTTTTATTACAGTTAGATATCCGTTTCTGAAAAGAGTACTTTCATAACGCAAGGATAAATATATATATATATATGTATATCAAGGACAAATGTCAAGAATATTTTATTATATTACATGATTCACCCTATATATACACATATATAAGAATCTTGATTTTTTGTGGCACATCTGAATATGTTTAATTCATGTTAGATTTAAAATTAAAATGTGTTAAAAATTATCATGTTCTTGAAATAAACATTTACCCTGATATAAATTCAGAATTTGTTTCTTTGATTTTAAATTGATGATATTGTTTGATGTTTATTTCATTGCAAAATAGTCCTGAAAAATAGGAATTTTTTTTTTTTAGACGTGAAGATCCACGTGATGCAGTTGTAATGTCGAAGAAATATAAAGACAAAACGTTATCTACATTGCCAGAAGGGAGTGTAATAGGTACTAGTTCATTAAGAAGATCAGCTCAATTAGCTAGAAATATGCAGCATTTAACTGTACAAAATATACGTGGTAATTTAAATACTAGGTTAAAAAAATTAGACGACGAAGAAAGCCCATTTGCTGCAATTATTTTAGCTGTTGCTGGTTTGAAAAGAATGGGATGGGACGATAGAATAAGTCAGGTATAATATTTTTATACAACATTTATTTTCTATGTGAATATATATTAAATACATAATTCTATTTATTTATAGATATTAGAACCAGAAGAAGCATTATACGCTGTGGGTCAGGGAGCATTAGGAGTAGAGTGCAGAGAATCTGATTGGAATATACTTTCTCTTTTAGAACCTTTGCACGATATAGATGCAACATTGAGATGTGTATGCGAACGATCTTTTTTAAAGACACTTGGTGGTGGGTGTTCTGCTCCAGTTGCAGTTTCTTCCACTTTAACTGAAAAAGATTTAGTTATTACTGGAGCAGTTTGGTCTCTTGATGGTCAAACTTTAATAAAAGATACAGCAAAATGTGAACTCTATATACCGGATGATGATGCAGAACCTCCGAAGTAAGCATTTTTAAGTACTATACATTTAATGTTTTTTATTATGTCTATAATAGATATTTTTTATATTATTTTTGATGTTAAATAGGAAATGTCAATATAGAGAACCCCGTTTATATAGCAGTGTAGTACCAGGTAATATAAGTAGCCTAAGTCTTTTATGCGCTGAAAAACTTGGCAAAGATATTGCTGCGAAACTAATAGCTAAGAATGCTCTAGATGTAATGTTTAAAGCTAGAAACGAAATTTTAAATTCAGAATGAAAAACTATGCAAACTATAGGAATTCATTGTTCCTTGTTTCTTAAAATGATGTTTTAAGGAATATAAAGTTATTAAAAATACAATTTTGTTTTAAGTTGAATTATTTTTTTTATTATCTTTTTTCCTATAAATAATTAACAATTAATTCAATTTTTACGTCTTCGTTTTTTCAATTAAGCAAAAAGAGTTCTTCATATTATAATATATTTATATACATAAAATATTTAGGAAAGTATAAAGAAATTTAATCTAATATAATTAATTATAATTAATATTATAATTAGTACTAATATAATTGACTGAAATTCATTCTATTCGTTAAATTCATCAATTCAGATTTTGATTCATTACTTTTATACTTTTTAATATGAAAACTCAATATATGTATATATTATACACGCTGCTTTTTGCTAAAAGATTTATTATCAGTGTTATTATATATATAAATGACTGAAATTCATTCTATTCGTTAAATTCATCAATTCAGATTTTGATTCATTACTTTTATACTTTTTAATATGAAAACTCAATATATGTATATATTATACACGCTGCTTTTTGCTAAAACATGTAATATAATTTCATAATGTTTTATTACACATATCAGCTGTTAAACAATTATTTTTTATAGACAAAATAATATATTATTATTGTTACTAATTATATTATAATCCTCTTTCATTTTGAAAGATATAAGAACACCAACTAAATGTAGTACCGTTACTTAACAAATGTTAATCGTAAGATATCTTATATAAATGTTATCTAGGTTCAGGTTTTATTTAACAGCTTGTTATTTTGTATAACAATATAATTATACGTGAAAATAAAAAAAAATCTATTTTATGAAAACCTATATATAAAATTCATTGCAAACGTCGGAATTAACGTAATTTGTACATATTACATTATATATTAATAAAGAAAAAGAGAGAAAACTCAATACTTAACAATTTTGTATTTCACATTATTTAAATAATGGATTTTTTAAGATCACGATGAGTAGTAACTTAGATAATATTTTTTTATTAACAACATTTAATTTGTGCTCATGCAATATAGAATATAACCACTCTGTAGTCTTATCAATAGAAACTGTATAACATTTTCATTGCTTACATAGTGCGCGCAATGTATTTTTATAAGAATATATAGAATATGTTTTTTTGTTTATACAAAAAATAACTGTAGTCATTTATATGTGCTAGTGCCTACTATAGAAGATAATATTATATGCAACCGTCTTAACGTTCTGTTTGTTACAGAAATTCTTCTAATACAGAGATCTAGTAGAGGATATCTTTACATAGATACAAGCAAATTTTGAAATAAATATCGACAATAACAATAATACAATTGATTATTAATTTTGGTTATTGCAACAAACCTTATGTATTAGATATATGGTATTATTGCATATAGATGAGTTAGATAACGATAATTATCTAACTTAGCACAATTTAATTACAATTACTAAAAATTGTTAGTTAAATATATATGTATTTTGAATCAAAATATAGGTCATAGATAGTTTCCTAAAACTTCGAATTTTATGAAACACAAGTAGGTTTATTATAACTCTACATAATTAATAAAGAAAGATAAATCATTTAATGACTAGAACTATATTAGTCAATTAAAAACGTGTGAAATAAAAATGTTTTGTACATGTGAATATAAACTTGTATTTATAATTGCAACTTATTGTAATATAAAATGAATATGTATTTTTGTTACTATCTTATAAATTACGTAATGTTATTGTAATTACCAAAAAGTCAAGTTATGGTGGCAAMTATAATATACGAAATGAGAGTGTACACATTCTACTAATGCCAAATTTTATTTAAAAGTTCAATGTGAATCTATAGTATTCTATTCAACATCTTCTTCTGACATTGCAGTTTGAGAAACTAGCTTCTGTAAAAGATATTAAAGAAACTTATCAATCTCCATTGATATGGATGCTTGAAATATCTCAACATATACGCACTTGGCCAACAGAAGGTATTCTTTGCAACAAAAGATTAAAGATTTGAGGTGGCAGTGTTTTTTCAAGAACTTGCAACAAGTGACTAGGCTGGCCACAAACTGCAACTGCATTGGCTAAATGTTCAATTCCACTTTCTACATCACCATGCATAAGCATTTCTTCTCCAAGTTGTACCTATTAATAGATCAATATTTTTCTATTATACTGTACACATATTTTATACATAATATCAAAGTAACAGTTTAATATAATATTTTTATTAACCTCTTGCAAAAAGAATTTCTGTACTGTCTCATGGTCTTTAAGATCTGGTATTTTAGAACTTGCTTTCTGTGCTTGTTTTCTAGCACGTCTTCCTAAAATAAAACAATTATTATTAAACTATAATAATATAATATAAAATAATATAATAATATAATAAAAATTATTAGTATTTTTTTTTATGTGTAAAACATAACGAATCAAATGTTATTTTAATACAAGTATAATCATTTGAAATAAGTTATCACATAAATATCTATGAGAAAGTTATCCAAATAGATAAAAAAAAAAAAGATAAAAATTAAATAGATAAGAAAATTAACACGATGAATAATATTTTTTTTCATCTAATTCTATAATTCAAACTGGTGAATGCAATATTTAATATTTTTATTTGAACACGTGAATATTTTATTTGATGTAAGAATAATTATCAAGACCATGTGTATTACATCCAATTTCTAGACTTACGTTCACGTAGTTTCTTTTTAAAGTCTGGATCACTACGGCGTTTTTGGTCGAAGTAAAAACAATAGCCAACAAAAATACCAGCGATGCCTACGGCAATACCCACTGCAGCTTTTGAAATCATGGTCATTCTGATAAATAACTTTAAATAATATAATGATGAAACTTATAAAATCCTCATTGCAACTTCGACCATCATGGAAAAGGCTATCTTCCCTCTAGTGCGAATCAGTGTGAACAAACCAAATTGATATTTAAGGCATGTTTTTAAATAACAATTTGATATTAAAGTACGTTCTTTTGTGTGCTTGCAGCAATTCAAAGTTTAAATGTCCAGTTCACGGATTAGTTAAACGTTCAATGTTTATTAACCAATCAGAATACATTTTTATATTACGCTTAGTTTTTATATAAAAATTGCATAAAATACTACTAATAGATATATAATATTTTATTTTATTTTGGTGGTATTATATTATTTATGTTATATTTATTTTTTATTTTAAATATATATGCAATCGAAAGAATATCACGTGACTGTGTAACAATGCGTACTCTATGTTTAAAATAGAGAACTAGTTACGCGCCAAATTAATCATACAAGAAGTAAATAAAAAATCTACTCGACAAGATATTTTATAAATTTATTTATATTGTATTTGTTATATATAATAATATAGAAGTAAAATAATATGCCGTTAGTAAAAAAGCCTATGCGTTATGCTCATCCAGAAGGACATACAGATGTTTGTTATTATACTGGAGAAGAGTGAGTAAACAATTGTTAAAGTATTGTTACTAATTATTCTTTATACTATATTGTATGTACATATATTAATTATTATTTATATTTATATTTACATTAAAGGGGAGGTCTTATTACTTGTGGTTCGGATGGAGATGTTAGATCATGGTTGAATTTAATGGATGATGATCCAACAGCAAGTTGTATTGCAGAACAAGCAATAGCATTGATATCAAAGGTAAAGTCATTTTTTAATTTATATTTTTTATAATCATAATTCAGAATGAATTATTTTAAAACAATCTAATGGTTGTACTGAATATTGTCTTATCAATGAAATTATAATATATATTTCAGAAAGGCAAAATATATGTAGGTAACGATAACAATACTGTTCAAATACTCACTCATCCAGATCTCGAAAAAGAAGGAATAGTTACGAGATTCGCTGCACCAGTATGTGCTTTAGCTACTACAACAAATAGTAATTATATTGTATCGGGTGGATGGTATGTTCAAATTATTTCTTTCGTATAATATTATATATTTGGTCTTTTAAATATATTATATTATTGTATTAAATTTTGTAGTGATATGAGAATACAAATTACCAATATCAATACATCGCATAGTATAGAACTGGAAGGACATGAAGCCCCTATATTAGGTTTATCTTTGGATCCGAAGGAAGAATTTGTTGTATGTAAGACACATGGTATATTTAGTATTTAATTTATTAAATTGGTATGCACTTATAACACGAAATTAAATGTCGCAGGCTTCTTCTAGCGCTGATGGTTCTATTAGGATTTGGGACATTAAGGAAAAATGTACCGTTAATATTTGGAATAATGTTGTACCTAAGTGTAATTCATTTTTTACTGCAAAGACTTATTGTACGCCTAGTTTTCATTGTAAAGATGGAAGTTGCCTTGCGTATCCACATAATAAAGATATAATTATTGTAGAAAGATTAACTTGGAAGGAATCATATAAATTACAATGTCCTACTTTAAAAGCTGTGAGTTTTTATAATCTTGAATTTATTTAATATTACTTATAAAATCAGGATATTTTTTTAAATTATATTTTACTTTGTAATATAGGAATTTAGTATTTGCAAATTTTCTGACTGTGGCACAAGATTAGCTGCCAGTACAGTATATGGAGAAATTGTTGCATGGAATATGGAAAATATGGCATTGATAGGAAATATTGAACATCCACAAAATACTAAAATTACTGCAATCGTGTGGAAACATAATGCATCAGACGAAATAGCATTCTGTGATTTTTCAGGCCAGTTAGGTTGCATCGATGTGGTATGTAAATTGATATATATTATTATATTATTAAAATATATTATTATAGCTGTTATTATATTATTTTAGATAGTTGATAACCAATCAGAAGATCTTCAAAGTAATGGACTTTCAATGAATAATGAAGTTCGTGAAACTACAGAAATTCCATTGAATTACATTAATGATGACGATGATGATGATGGAGATAATGTAATAAGTTTAAATAAAATAAAAGCATCTGTAGGATATGAAAACGATGAAAAGTCTGATATTATATTAGAGAAAGATACAGCGCATGATGTTAAAAATTTTATGCCAGAAATACGAATACAACCACCTTTTCAACCAGGATCTTCACCTATTCATTTATTATCACGATTTATGGTAAAATTACTTTATACTTTGTTAAAAGTATGGTAATAAAAATAAATATGTTTTTATTAATATTTTTATTTGAATTGTTACAGGTGTGGAATCATGTAGGCATAGTAAAGTGTTTTAATTCAGAAGATGGAGAAGAATCTAGTATTGAAGTAGAATTTCATGATATTACAATTCACCGCAGCATGCATATAAATAATTATTTGAATCATACTATTGCCGCTTTATCATCTAATGCTCTTGTGTTAAATTGTCCTTCAATTGAAGATACAGCAAGCAAACTTGTCGTAGTAGTATTGCAAGGTTAGAAAACTATTTAAATTATCCTAAATAAACATCGTTATCATTTGAATTATCGTGTTAAACCGAGTGCAAAGGATTAATTATCAAATTAGCTGTTTAATGTAATAGAAACACTTTAAATTTAAGGCTGGGGTTCTGGAAATAAAGAATGGTCAATAGATCTTCCGGAAGGAGAAGATGGACAATGCGTTGCTGCTGGTGACAATTTTGTAGCAATTGCCACTTCTAGAAGATACTTGAGAATCTTTATGATAGGTGGAACACAACGTGAAGTTATAGCTTTGCCTGGTCCTGTTGTCACAATGAATGCATTTAACAATCATCTTGTCGTTGCTTATCATGATGGACTAGGTAAAATATAGAAAATTAAACAATAGGTCATAATGTCAAATAATTCATATGTTTATTATTAATAGGAGTAACTGGAGATCAACATATGAGTTTACTTTGCATACAAATTTTTGGAACACGTTTGAGAAATCAAAAATTAAGTATTCCTCTTTGCCCCTCATCAGATCTTATATGGTTAGGATTATCCGATTTTGGATCTCCAGTTATAACGGATTCAGAAGATATTATAAAAATATATGATAAAAAATCATCTTTATGGAGAGTTATATGTGATATGGATAGAAAGGTAAAAGAAAATGAAATAATATTATTAGGTGTACAACTTTGTATCCGTCGTTTTTTTTTCATAAATTCGAGGCTTTATTGTAAAGAACTGGTTATACATTTATGATTCAAAGTATTGTCCATCGCTGGTCACTCTTTCTCCTATCTTTTGAACAGCGTACGAATTTCACGTTGAAAAAACTATTCATCTTTTGAAACGATCCGCGAATCAATGAAATTTTGTACTTTTTTATAATACCGGAAATGCTGGTCAGCCAGGTTTTGTGGTATTGATCGAAACAATTGATACTCAGAGAGAGAAACGTTTGGAGAATACAGCAGGGTGTGTAGGTCTTCCCATTTCAACGTATCCAAATATTGTAAAACACTCTATAGGAGAACGGCGGAAGCGAAATTGTAAACCTAATATGTTATCATTTTGTTATTTAAATATACTGTATATTATTTTTTAAATAGGGCAAAGGTAAAGCCGATCATTATTTTATAATTGAAGTAAGTGAAGAGCGTAAATCTGTTAGCTGTGTATTATGTAAAGGAAGTTATTATCCAATAACTACTCCACGGCCAGTTGTTACCGAAATATCTTTAACAATTCCTCTTTGTGAACCTGATTCGGAAAAAACAGAAAAGGAAACTAAATTGTGGCAATTAGGAAGTCAACCATCAGATGAAAACGAAGCAGTACTATTTCTTATTGCAGTATGTACAATTTTCTTTGTTTTTTTTTCCCCTATTTCCTTTACTGTATAAAATTACTAAATAAAGTAATAATAAATGCGTGAAATTTAAATAGTTGGCTTGTCGAAGTAACGTTGAATATCGAGCAGTCGAATTATGTGAACAAATAGCATCACAAAAGGTATTAGATTTGGCGATAAAATATGCAGCACGTATTAATCGTACTGCGTTAATGAAAAAATTGGAATCCATTGCTGATATTAAAGAAAAGCAAGAAGAAGAAGAAAAAGAAGAAAAAGAAAATAATGATCAAAATGGTACAAAAAATGGTGATGAGATAATCGAAGATACAGAGGAATTATTTTTAACCCCGGTGGTAAATAAAAAATCTGATATAGAAATAAGGCCATTATCAATGACTGAAACTTTATCAATGAGAAGATCTAATCCCTTTTTGAAAACTACTACTTCAACATCAACGGGTAAAACGAAAGATAATTAATATCTAATTTATTAATTTTATATTATATATAATAAATATTTATTTATATAAATGTTCGTTTTATTTTTCACATTGCAGGTTTAATTGGTCTCAATACTGCACAAGAAAAGCCTCAAAGATCAGTAGTAGAAAAAATTACACCTTCTCCTAAATTCAAATCAAAAAATGAAGTAAAAAAAGAAACGTTTGTTGCCTGGTACGCAAAACAGAAGAAACATTTACAAGAAGAATTTCCCGATTATAAACCTGCTGAATTAACAAAAATAGCTTTATCGAGATACAAAGAAATCTCTAAAACACAAGATAAAGAGGAACCATCCGAAAAAAAGAAACGGAAATTGTCAAGTCCTGAAGGAGAACTAAATAATCAACCAAAACGATCGTTTGCTGAAAAATTGAGCTCTTTTGCGAACGAAAAATAAACCATTTAAAACAACAAAAGATAAGAAAGAAGACATTTTTAAATTTGTGGTAGATACGATTTATGAAATAATTATTTTTAGCACTATTAAAATATTATTCATTTTTTTCTGCGGTGAATGTTTTTTTACTGTCGGTAATTCTGATGGTAAGTTACCATCAGATCTCGGTCGGTAAGATAAAGGTAGAGCACTACTATTACCGATATCGGCTTAGCCATGTTACTAGAATTTCAATATATTTTAAACTTTCTTATTTCCTAGTAACTTTTAATATTAAGTAGTGTACACAAAGTGAATGCATAATTAAATTCTATATACATTTAAAAACAAATAATTAGAAATCTAATATAGATATTTTGTTTTAATTATTAATTAAAGGAGTTTACTCGTTAAGAACGATTGTCTTGGAACAGGTACAGAGAAAAAGACTTACTAGATTAATAAAAAAATCGATATAATATTGGAGCTGGAAAGATCGGAGAAAAACGGACAAACAAAAAGTCAGCAATTAATTGAAAACAAAAAACGATAGAAAACTTCATTGCTTTGCTTAGAAATGAGAAAAAACGTTTTTGTTTTTTCAATTATTAATAATTAATTAAATAATAAATTAATAAAGTGAACAATTATATATGGATTTGGATTGATCAATTAGTTTGCACTTATTCATTTTTTTCTGCTGTTGCGGTTCTATGCTTACTTTTCTTTGCACCTTTGTATCGATAAAGTTTCGATTGATCTTCTTTCCTGTTGATAAAACAGACTCAGAAGCTTTAAATCTCTTCAGTCTACTTTAAATCTTTGAACAAGCAGTACGTTGAATATTGTTCCGGTAGTAAATATTAATTTAAAATAAGAGGAGAGACTAAACTGAAGACAAAGACAATGTTGGAAAAATCATTTAAAGGTAAATACAATAAGAATAAATTTAGATAATCGTTAGGTAGACGAATTTCGAGGTTGCGTCTAAATATAAATTCAACTTAGGTACATAAATCGCGGTTGTTTCATTGCATCACCGTTGAGATGGTCGCATTCGGAAAACGAAACGCCGATTTTGTAGATTATTAATATTGTTTATTAATCAATTGTTATATTTATGAAATAATTCTTAATATTTCTTTTTACGCGATATACGAATTGAATAAATATTACTTTCGAAAATTATGATAGTTTTTACGTTTAGTTTGCGTGGGAAAAACAAAAAATATAAAAATACAATTAAATACAAAGTACAAATTAAATAATTTTTATCATATCAATTTTTACTAAAGTTATTTATATTTTTTAATCGATTATCTCTTTCATTACGAGATAAGTTAAAAGACTTGTATTCGAAAAAATAATCAAATAATCTTATTATTAAAAGTGTGATAATAGACAGGAAGTAGGGGAAGAAGAAAACAATTTTTTTTTTATATATATAAATCAGCATTTTATTATTTTAATGAAGGATATGTTTTTTTTTTTTTTTAAATCTAACTATATGAGAGTTATTGTTTATATTTTTATATCTAATTATTATGTAAAACCAAGTCCATTTACAACCCGTGTGTGCTGGCTTAGTATTATTAATATTTAAATATTATATTTAATATTCTTTTTTCTATATTTAGCACCCTTTTCTAATCAACCCCGGCTTTTTTTCCATCCCTCATTATTCCTCACTATATAATATTAAATTTCCTATATTAAACAATTAAATATTTTCATTCTTCTTTTAAAACTAACTGTAAATAAACTTTTCCGATACCATCCCTTGTTTGCTTCATTATCAGATTTCTCTTCTTTATCAGGTTTTGCATATACCATCGGTTCTTATTATCATTTATAAAGAATTCACCCCTAAAAAAAAATAGGTGAATCATTTCACTTTTTTTATTATCTTATTTTTTTCAGCTTTTAACAAATTATTTTCCTCCTTCCTCATTCTCTTCTAAACACCATCATAATTTTTTCCTTCCAACGAATTAATTCATCATTTTCCTTATTCCTTTTTTTTATCCAATAAAATAATATTACCTGAATATGCGAAGATCTAGATCTTGTATTTTCCGCTTATTAATTTGTTTAATACCTATCCTCTATTTAAAATTTTATTTCAAATTCACAATGAAAATGGTGAAGAGGGAGTTTGGGTTTCCTCGTTTCATTCCTTTTAACGTTTAAAATGTTGTTTGGTCTCTTTTATTAAACTTTTTTCTATTTAATTAGTTTTTACCAAAATTTTTATCAATTCCTACTTTGTGTCAAATACATGTTCTATTAGATTTATGAAGCAATAGGCGTATAGTTTCTCTTATTATTTTGTATTTACAATTAGTTTTTTTTCTACTACATGTTGTAGATTTCAAATATTCTGATAGAATATTTTTCTCTTCTATGTTTTTTTTTATTTATTTATTTAATACCATCGTATAAGTTTTCTAAATTGTATTTAATGAAGTATTTAGTAATAATTATTTCTTGTAGAAAGTATATTTGCGCGAGCATACTTCCAGAAGAATAATTTATTTATTTTACAATCCTAAATTCATATTTAAAGTTTGGTAATTTAACTTTCGGGAAATATTCTGTATATATATATATATATATATATATAGATCGTATTTTATATATCGCACGATATGAAATATTTGTTATATTTATATAATTTTAAATATATTATTATCGAAACTATCTATCTATTTTTTTTATAATAATCGAAGTACACATAAAATAAGATAACATTATATAAGAAGTTGACACAAATGTAAGCTCGACACTTAATCATCACTGAAGTTTAATTTATAATCTACAAGAGATTACACTCATTAAATGTTTTTCGGAATGGACAAACACTATTTTATATTTAACAAGAGTAGATATATTAGTTAAATATATAGAAATATGTAATGTAACAGTTAATTATTTCGTTATTTGATATTTTTTATAATTTTAACACGTTATTTTTCCTTTTTAATAATAAAGTAAAAAATATCGAAAGTAAATTATCACGCATGTGTTTTAAAAAAAATACGAACGTAATCGCTTGTTCGTAAGTATTCAGTATAATAATTATTATCAATGATTTTTACAATTTGAACAATTTTAAATAGATAACAAAAAACATTAATGAAATGTTAGTTTGTAAAATATATTGTTGAGTATGAGGGGTCGCCTTATTCATGTGTTAGGATCGAATGATCTTCATTGCGGTTTAGGTTTAAATAGTTTGATAAGGACCTTGAGAAAACAGCAGGATATCATATTTATTGCAATCTCTGTAATAATGATATTGTCGTTTGTTAACGAAGTTATAATTCAGGTATAGTAAATTACCAGAATGGTTCGAATAATTTAGAAACTATTGTTCTTATATCCAATTAAGCACCGTACCTCATGTAGTAATTGATAATATACAAATATCTTATTGATTTATAGATCATATTCCACTGGACGTTATTCAAGATGCAATGGGTATTATGGGTCCTTGGCATATTGTTATTGCTATTGCACTTTCTCTTGTCAAATTCCCAGTTGCTTGGCATCAACTCTCAATTGTATTTTTAGCACCCCCGACTAATTTTTCTTGCATATCACCAGAATCCTCAACTAATGAATCCATGGTAATGAAATGTTATGTTAATCTTGATAACGGTACCATGGAAAAATGTAATAAATTTAGATACGATAGAAGAATCTTTCGAGAAAGTATTATAACGGAGGTTCGTTAAATATTTTTTTATTTAAATAACATACTTACTAATTTTGTTTTTATTATTTTACATTTAATTTTTGTGAGAAGATATATATATATATGTAATTTTTTATATTATTTTAAATATTATTTCTGTTTTAGTGGGATTTAGTTTGTGATAGAGAACAATTAGCGAATGTTGTACAATCGTGCACAATGTTTGGCGTACTACTTGGTAATTTTGTATTCAGCTCGATGGCCGATAGGTATACACAAATTATTTATTATTTTAAATATAAAAATGAGATCATATTTATTTTGAAATTAATGTTAAATTAAAAATATAATATTTTCAGAATCGGTCGTAAAAAGCCATTAATGATTGCATTAGCCTTGCAATCGGTAACAGGTGTTATTAGCTCTTATGCTGTGTGGTTCGAATTATTTCTAATTTTTAAATTTTTGTCCGCAATAGCTACGGGTGGAACTATGTTAATTAGTTTTGTTTTATGTGAGTTTCCTATAAGTAATTTATAACAAAAATTAAATGTTATTATATACTTGGAATAGTAAATCATATTTATTCTTTTAATTTTTCCTTGTATTTTTTGCAGTGATGGAAATTGTAGGAATCGAATGGCGATCGGCAATGTCTATCCTCTTTCATGTACCGTTTATAATTGGTCATTTAACTACTCCTCTTGTATCTTATTTAACACACACGTGGCATAAATTTCAATTGGCTATTTCAATACCAGCAATTTGTTTATTATCTTACTATTGGTAAAAATTAAATAACATTAATTATATAATATATATATAAATAATTGAATATAAATGATTAATATTATTTTAAACAAATTTAGGATAATTCCAGAATCACCTAGATGGTTACTCGCTACCGGTAAACCGGCGGAAGCTGAGATTATTTTATTAAAAGCTGCCAGACGGAATAAGATTCCATTAGAAAATGTTAATAGAGCGATAGATGCGCACGAAAGTCAAAAACTGTCTCGGAAAATAGATAAAACTAATTACAATTTCACACATTTGTTTAGAACGCCTAATATGAGATTTAAAAGTATTTGTGTATTTATTAATTGGTTCTTTTGTGGTATTTGTTTTTTTGGATTAGCACAGTATATGGGTCATATCGATGGAAATATATTTATTAATGTTGCTATCTCAGGTAAAAATTTGTCTAATAATAATGTTATTCAAATTTATATAATATATATGTAACATAATATTTAATAACGCATTTGTATTGTATTACTTTACAGCTGCTGTTGAGTTACCAGGTACCATTATAGTTCTGTTCTTGATATCACGAGTGTCACGTTTAAAAATATTGATGGGAGCCAATTTGTTGACTGGTTTAAGTTTACTTTTAATTGTAATAATAAACAATCCAAATGCTACACTTTATCTAGCAAGTTTGGGAATCGCTGGAACCGGTGTCAGTTTTCCAACCATATATTTATATAGCAGTGAAATATTTCCTACTGTTGTTAGAAATAATGGGATTGGTATAGGCAGTGTATGTGCTAGATTTGGAAGCATGATAGCACCTTATATTGCTACTCTGGTAATATAATTTTCAATATTTTGTATATTACGCGCGCAAGCATCTGCGCATGCGAGTGCGCATGCATCTGCGTACGCACCTCCGCATGCATCTGCATACGCACTTCTGCATGCGCACTGCATATATATATAAAATGTATTTTATATAGCTGTATATATTTTTATTATTACAGGGAAAAATTCAATTTTGGTTGCCTCCTGTTATATTTGGATTAGGACAATTAATTGGGGCTGGTCTCTGCCTTTTATTACCAGAAACAATAAATTGTGAATTACCCGAGACCATCGAGGATGGTGAAAATTTTAGAAAGTAGGGATTATAATATATAGTTAAGATATTTAATATTTATCGTCTTTATATTATTACTTATATGTATATATATATAACTTTATTATTTTACTATCATATATTTAAAATATTTTTATTATAGGCAAACTTCTGCTCAAAGTACATCTTCAGCACATAACAATACTTGAAGATTGATTTAATTGTGCAGTTAAGTACATTCACAATGAATATTTTAAACAAATAGAGTGGGTTCGTTAGAAAAGTATTCAATTGATTTATATTTAAATATTAATATATTAATATTTCTTATTCCATAAAGTGATTTACAATTTTATTAAAAAAATATGAGATAATACAGTTACATTTAAAGATTGTATTTCTGAGTATTTTAAAGTAATTAGGTTCTTTATTCAACACCTAAGCTTTACTATCTTCTTAGAGAGATGTATATCATTGTTTTATTTAAAATTATCATATATAATGTTGTTTATAATTTACATTATTTTTGATATAATTTACAATATTTTTTTATAAATGATATATTTGGAGTTAGCTAAAGCAGATCTTTACATAATCGTATATACAAATCAAGAGTAAAAAAGAATTAATAATATTTTTACAAGATTTTCTAATAGTCATATTATAAGACTCAATTTATGAAATTTAATATACGCATTCCATATACAAAAATAATAAATATGATTAAGTCAGCCTTTTTTTTTAACTATGATACATGAATATTGAAACATGTAACATAGTTAATATATAATTTGTATCTAATATAGGTAAAATATTATTTATTTAATGTGTAGTGTTACCTAAGTAAAGTATTTTGTTAGGTAAAACGTTTATTACCCCGTTTGTTTTTTTGTGTACAGCATCAAACATTTGATTTCCATATTTAACAGTACTACTTAATGAACTTAGCCAAGACAACATCATACCTTTGGCAGGAATTTTTTCTAAATTATTTGAAGTACCTATAAATATTCAATAATTCATATAAGTTATAATTTAATAATTTATTAATTCATAAATATTGAAGTTAAACATCATTAAGTAAATCATACCTATCAAAAATTTAATAATTGCCTTATTCACATCGTCTGGTTTTTCTTGATGCGGGAAATGATGTGCTTCAGTGATTACTTTTACGCTAAATTTTTCCACATATTCTGAACTCTGGACTATACTTTCAATCATTACAGATGGGTCTTCATTACCAACTATCAATAATGTATGAGTAAAAAGTTGTTCACTTGCGTCCATATTTAATCTTGTAAAAGGAAGATTGCGATAATAATTTATTGCTCCAGTCCAATCTTCTGTAAAAAAAGAAAAATATATTGATTGTTTTTTTTAAACTATTAAATAGATACATTTACAGTAAATATATTAGAAATCAATAAACCTTTTCTGCTAAAGCTATATTTATATGCTTCTACATAGTTATTTTGGGAGCTTGTATTTTTTACTTTGAGATGTTTGAATGTATCATTAATAATCGATAAATCTTCTTTCAATGCGTCTATTTCTGGTAAAATTGGCAATCTACTAAAATGCACCCATCTGTGAATGTGCAAACTCAAATAAATTATGACGATTTAAAAATTAAAATCGAGAATGGATAACTTAATGAATATATACTTACTTTTTATCAAATACGGTATTTTTTGATATTTTTTCCCAATACAAATTAGGATGTGGACTGGAAATAGCTATAAATTTATTTATCATATCTCCATGTAAAGCAATCATATACCATCCCAGAAGACCGCCCAAATCATGACCAATTATACTACAAGTTTTAACATCAAAAGTTGAAATAAATTGTTTCAATTCGTCTATTATAATTTCAATCTTATAGCAACGCTTGTTAGATGGTTTGTCGCTATCACCAAACCCTTTCAGATCAATAGCCACTACCCTAGAAATTATAAAAATGATATTAATGGCCTTATAACAAGATAATTGATAATTGTATTAATTGTGTGAGCCACTCATATGCTATACTAATTAACTAAAAAGTAAAGAAAATTAATATAGTAATATTTACTTAAAACTTATTTTATATTAAAATAGCTATACAAATTGTTTTCATTTAATGTTGTTGAGACTAATTATGTGAAGGAAATTAATTTTAAATATAAAAAGTTAACTATTAATCTCTCTTTTTCTCTAAAGTAGTTTAATGATATAAAATATAAAAAGATTATAAAAGTTCAGTTAATCGCTTTGGCCTATGAACGGTTCAATTATCATCATATACCTATAATATTCTGCTAAAGTTGGTATTTGTTCTCTCCAAGATAACCAGCAATCAGGAAAGCCATGTAATAATAAGAGAAGTGGTTTCTCTACGTCTCCTGCTTCTACATAATGGAATTTTACACCCTGAGTAAGAAAAAACATAATTGTAGGCTTGATTACTTTGAGTTCTTTACTATAATATTTTGATAAATATGTTAGCGTTAAAATAATCTTTTCAAATTACGCGCGTTTTTTAATAGATATCGATAAAGTCGTACGATCGATTTTCTCGATCGATTTAACCTTAAAAAGAAAAAAGAAAAAAGAAAAATCCCAAGAGATAGATCATTATTTTCTTCTTTTAGTAATATTATAAACAACTACGCAATTTTTGTCCTTTAATAATGAGATAAGATGTAATTAAAATACATTAATAATAAGTTTCTCTTGACTTTATAAATCGATTCAAATATTATCGAATCAAAGTTCAAGACGAAGTTAGTTGCACGTGTCTTTAAGCGACAAATAATTTCACATACTTTCGATTATCGAATTGATCACACAAGATTTCTCCAGAGAAAGAATATGGATATGTATTTTTAAAGAAGATAAAAAAATAACTCGTTCTAAGTTTCTTATCTCGAAGGTCAAGTAATGCAAATAAAGTATAACAGCGAGTTTGATATGACTCTTCGTTTGTCTTAACTATTTGCGTGTTATTTATCGATTTTTTCATCACGTTTCAAATTCGTTGGATTAATCTCAATTAATAATAATAATAATAATAATAATAATAATAATAATAATAATAATAATTGGATTCTTACTTTAATTTTCACGTAGGAATGAGTGCCAAGATTGTTGTTGACAAGACATAGCGGCGGTTTATCTCTTTGTTCTAATATGAAAAACTTTTTAGGATCCCAAGCCCATTTCAACAATCTTTTTACTATCAGATAGAGACCATAGACGAAGGATAAGAAGTGTAATTTGATGATTTCCCACGTTGATATGTGTACGATCCTGTCTGCGATCATTATAGCGGTCTAAGCAAAAATAATTAAGAAGAATCCTACTCCAACTTCCTTCCTTTTTTGAGGTTATTATTTTATTATTTTATACACTTATATATATATATATATATATTTTTTTTTTTCTATTTT